GGTGGACCGCAAGGATGACCCTAGGTGATTCTGCAGTGACCTCCCACTATGCATTCTACCTTACCCATAGACACATGACTCAGCATGTGACTTGATTTTGTCAATGGAATATTAGCAAATGTGACCCAGAAATAGCCTTGAAAAGCATTTGTGTATTTCTCTTTGTGCTCTCCCCCATCGCTATCAGCATGAGAACATCCCTTAGCTAGCCTGCTGGAGAATAAAATACCTGAAGCGAAGCTGAGTCACTCTAGACAAGGACAGCCTAGGTGAACCCAGATCATCCCACAGCCAGCCACCCCACCCCAGACATGTGAGTGAACATAGCCAAGTTCAACAGTGTTGCCTAGGTAGCCCCAGCTGACTCCACATGTATGAGCAATAAACTCCATTGCAGTGTGGCGCTACTTGACATCCAACATACTTGCGCACGGGTTTTGTTGTTTGACCTTCTCAATAGAGGAGCCAGATTTCATAAAGTCAAACTAATGCTGTGTTTTTTTAAAATAATTAATAAACCATTATTCATTACCTATTTTTAAGGAGACAAGGTAAATTAGGAGACTTCTATGCAGTCTCAGTTTTTAAGTATTGGAAGCTAATTCAACAAAACATTACCAGCTAACTTCAACACACAAGTTCTAACTGTCAGTCTTTGTTCTAGTATTAAGAATACTCTCTGATCTCAAGTTATTTACAGATTTTGCAAGATAGACAGGAAGAGTGCATTATACACAAGAAAATAGTCATATCTTAATACTTACCATCTGGACAAATATAACAAATATGGATTTTTAAATGGCTTTTGGAATGCTTCCCTAAAAGACAAAACACTAACAGCCCCCACAATTAAGGGGTTTAATACTATTTTAAAAATATGAACTGATAAATAACTATATTTTAAGGGATTCATCACATCTAACTTTTCCTGGGGTTATACTAAATCCAAAAATAAAAAGATCTTTCTGGATATAAACAGTTTATTCATAAACCAAGGACTTCAGCAAATGCAGCTTTTTGATAGAAAGCATAACACTATTCAAAGATCAATTTTTTAAAAACTTTATCACAACTTGGATAATGTTTTGTAAAGAAATAACAGATATGCATATGTGTGTATATATATGCAAATTCAATTGCTAAATTATAGGTAAAGCGTTGTAAATCATATATTACTGCTATATTTATGCCTAATGTCACATATTCCCTTCAAGGTTGTCAGCTCACTGAGGATAAGACCTGGTTATGTTGACATCTGTTTTCTCAAGTATTTACAATTTCCTGATTCATTCTATTTACGCGGCTGCAGCAGCTAAAACTAAGGCACTGGAAACCATCATTCTGAAAGACAGCCAGAGAAAGTCGGTATTGATGTGGTCACCTGCTAAAAATGCTGTAAGTAACGATTACATTCTATAAATATAAAATTAATAGATAGTTACAGTATATAATTCCAAACCTACAGCAGGGGTAAAAGGATCAAGGACCACAGTAACAATAGCAATGCCCATTGGGACTGAGTAGCCAAAGGTCCTCAGGATGTCTCTTAAATGCCAGAAGAAGCTTGGTCAGGTAGAGTAAATTAGCAGAGGGGGCCTGATTACAGGGTATTTGTACACTGAGTTTCTGAGCAGTAGAAATTTCAGTAAACCCAACTAAAAAATGTGGGTTTCTTCTACTAAGCCCTGGCCAATTTTTCCCGGCAGGAAGGTAGAGGGTCCCAAGCTACTAGAGTGTTCTATTTTTTTTTTTTTAATGGAACCACAAATAAAAATTTTTACTTATTAGCTCCAAAATTTTATGTGATGTCACAATTTTTTTAAAAAAAATCATCATGTAGAACAAATAAAACATCTGTACTCCCCTCAAAATGATGTCATCTTTGTTCCTGATTAAAGAAGCTAAAAGGAAACAGAGTTATCTCTTCCTCTTCCTTATCCTTTATTATATTACACTAATAGTGCTACTTCAGGTATGGTCCATGAATATTGCCACTCTCTTCAATCTATTTATTCTTGGCCCCAGAAGAGACAAGAAGTGTTGTGGACAGGTAACATCCATGATCCTGCCTGTTGGCATTCATGACCTTGTATAATCCCTCCTGTGTGAAGGAAGAAACTGTGACTTGATTTTAACCAATAGAACATGCAAAAGTGATATGTTACTTCTATGATTATGTTATATAAGACTCTGGCTTTGAAAAAGCAAGCTGCTCTGAATCCTACAGCCACAGGGAAATGAATTCTGTCAATAACCTGAAGGAGTTTAAAGTGAATCCTTTGCTAATCCCGTGGCTGATGAGACCACAGCCCCAAGAGAAACCCAGATTACAAACTGATATAACTCTGAAGCAGAGAACCCATCTAAGACATTCCTGAACTTCTGACCCACATAAACTGAGATGATAAATGTGTCTTGTTTTACACCACTAAATTTTGCATAATTCATTATATAGTAATAATAAAATAATACAAGGAGTTTGCCCCAAAATGTAAATCAACTACCTCACTAGGCACATTATTTAGTTTGGCTGATGTTTAGTTTTCACAGTAAGACTTTCTCAATGAAGGAAGCAATGCTTTCAATTACATTCTGATGCAAGCTCTTTATCCAGCAGCAGACCCATACTGAGTCGCTCTGTTGTACATTTCCTCAGCACGACAGGAAGATAGGTCTGGTCTAACTGCAGAAAAAGAGAAAGGTGGTATTTTCTTTGACACAGAATTTTGTCCAATGATGTGTGCAACAGGGTAGAGAAGATCAAGGTCAGGGACATAGGGACTGTGGAGAAGCAGTTTTTATCATCCATCATCCTTCAAAGTTACATAAGTATTTGTTATCACTACAGTTAAAAGCAATGGATGAGCTGATATTACCTGTAATAAGCTGATAACAACAAAATGATGTGAAGAGAGCAAGACAAAAAATCCTTTAAAATTCTCATACTACTACTCTTCCCTGGGTCATTTGAAATCTAGGGAATTTAATAGTACCTACAGTTGGCAAGGAAACAGATAAGTCATTTTTCTCATCCCCTGCTCATAACTTATTTTTAACACAACAAAATCATTTATAGACCCCTGCAGAAACTATGCATTTTCTTTACTTCTCAGTCCTAGCTCTGGCTAACCCTTATGACTCCTAAAGATTTAACTAGGTAGCCCTTACTCCAAGAAGCCTTCCTTGATAAATACTGCTTCCCTAATAACCTATGCGACATCAAACATTTTACTTCTTTGCTTGTATTATAATTATCTCTTCATGTGATTGTCATACCTACTCAAATTGCTATTTGAGATCAGGAACCATGAGTTTCTTTTTTGTATTTCCAGCATGCAGGAAGTTTCTGGCCCATAGTAGGTGCTCAATAAATAATAAGTGAAGAGTAAATAAATAAATGCTATTACCCAAGGCTATATAAAAGCTAAGAGAAGCACTTTAAAATGAGGCAACAATAAGCTTGGAAAATGTGGGTGAAATATGCTGAGAGATTTGAAACACTAAATCTGTTAGCAGGAAGCCTGAGGCAGGACCTTCAAGGGTAAAAGATTCATGCAGAATGATAGGAAACAAAGAATTTTACAACCTAACACATGTTGAATTGAAAAAAAAAATCATAGGTACCCACTATACCCAGAAGTTAATTTTTCTCATATCTTGCTTCAAGCAATATATCAATGTTATTAACTCACATCAAATATAAAGAATGATGCTTTTCTGAGAGCATTTCTTCTGAGGTTCCTCGTCAGCTACTTTCATCAGATACCAGGAAGCAAGGGAGCTCCCTGTGTGTGGTTGGACTGGCTCTACGACTTCATGAGGGAGATTCAGTCCTCTACTCACATCTGTCTTGGAGATCAATTCCATAAAACATAACAGATGGTTTGCCAGATAGTCTTAATTTTCAGTTGAATAACTTTGATTTATACAGAGGCCAGTTCTTCGTGTTTATTTCAATGGTTTAACATGATACACTTAAAATCATTCCTCGTGAAAAAACTTTCAGGTGATCTTAATCTTATTCCATCACTCTTGCTATGACTCCTTCAGGGATTTTACCTGCTCCATCTGAAATACGATGAAAATTCACATCCACTAAGAATTTGAATCCTCTCTCTTTCTCTACTCACCCCATCCATCATCTCCTACATATCAAATAAACCAAGATGTGGTTCTCTCTCTCTTTTTTCTTTCCAGATGCCCAGGTGTGGTCAGTAAAAAATTAATTGCTTGTACAATTATTATGAACTATCCAATGTATACTGCAAGTTAAATACTTGATTGAAAAAAAAAAAAGTCTATTCAAAAGGCCTAAGACTGAAAACTGCCAGAGAGAGTTTTTCACCTTACCCCAAAGTCCACGGGACCCACACATTAGTAGCAGACATTTTCTATGCCACCTCTTGCTAGTGAGTCTAAGTCTGAAGTACTCTTGGTCCAGTCAATTTAGAAATAAGTTATTAAGCATGAATACTGCCTGGCATAACAGCTTTAATTAAACAAAATAGAAGTGAGCTTTTTCATCTCACTAGCATGACATCCTGCAAACGTAAGAGCTTTAACACGAAAAGGAATTTAGTTGTTATTATTAATTTGTAAACTAAACTTTATAAATGAGATGGGCAAAGGAAACAAAAAGGCACTTCGCAGAAGAAAAAATATTTGAGCAACTGAAAAACAAATTTAAAAAAACAACGGCAATCTTAATAAACAAGAATTCAAATTGAAATGAGACATATTCACTATTAAAATTGCAAAGATTTTTAAAATCATTAAGAAGTGTGAGAAGAAATGAATATTCATATAGTGAGGCTAGGTCCAATAGCTTTTCTAGAGAGAAATTTGGTATAATGCAACAAAAGCTTTAACAAATTTTACACATTTATCCTAACTATCCTACTTCTTGGAAACAATCACACGCCCAGAGATTTATGTACCATAATTTTTCCATCATGATGATGGGCTGGGGTAATCTAAATGTCCTATAATAAAGAATTGATACGCATCTATTTGACAGACCTGGAACAGTTACTGTCTGCTGCTAAGGTCTCAGTGCAGATGCAAGAAAAAACGGTCTCTGTGCTTTCTTTCTGTCTGACTGGCAGCCAAGATTGAATGGGGGAATACAATGGAGGAACACAGAGTTTTAACACCTCAGAAATTATCTTGTAAACAGCTGAAGAGTGTGTTTTACTCCAAAGAAGAATCTAAAATATGAGTTTACAAAAGAAGTGCTAGAAAACTAGTCCCCTACATTCTTGCCTTCCGATCCATTCCACTTTTAAAAGCTTTAGGGTTAAAACTAATTAAAGGCAGCCAAAGATTTTTTGGAAAAAAAAAAAAAGAATTGGTAATATTGAATATAGTTTATGATACAGTAAATAACTATTAGGAATAACAAAGTGTTTTAAGGATATGTGACATGCTCACAATATACTAAGTGAAAAAGAAGTAGGCACCAAACATTATTTTAAATATAATTACTGTTTTATTTTTAAAATATACATAAATGCCTAGCAAAAATGTATGTATATTAAAATGGTATTAGTAGATATCTGTGAAAGGTAGACTTATCAGGGTCTTGTTTTCTTCTTTATATTTTTACTTTAAACTTTTCTTATCCATATAGAGTATGGACAATCAGATACATAAAAATGATAAAAACCCAAAGCACAGGATTGGGGGGCATAAAGTTCCTATACCCTGCTAAGTAGTGACTCGGTTTTAGTAATAATCCTTAGGTTCTGACATAGGACTATTCTCTACAAAGCCCCAAGCCAATTAAATATCAATATCTTTTCATGCTATAAGTATTCATTAAGGTGTTTCCACACAGAATGTGAAGAAACAGAGAAACAATAGTTACCAGAAAAAGAATCCAATACCATTTAAGTCACTTTTACCACATTCAATTCTAATAATAGTTATACATTAAAAAGCAAAGGTTCAAGTCATTTAGCATTAATGAGAGGATTAGCTCATTGAGAGAATATGAAAAACAATTCTAAATTAAAACCAACTAATTCAACTTGGTTTTTAAATGTCAACAGCTATAGGTTCTCTCAAATTAACCATATCCAACTGCTTGTACCTGACTCTATTTAACCCTACAAAACATATATCATTATTATGAAAGATTCTATTTAACTCTACAAAATATATATCATTCCTTGTTATTTTCCAGTATTTTGTTAGTGATCCTAAAATGGATTCAACTTCGATGACAGCATTGGCAAGGTAAGGACAGATGGCCCTATGGTCCTTTTCAGTCCTAGGGGTCTGTGATTGCTTATCCTTAAACATGGGCACTAAATTTATATTTTAATTATATGTCACTAATTTGTAGAGTAGGATTTTAAAGAATCTTGAAGCATAAATCTTTTTCATCTGCAATGAATTAGATTCTCTACATTTGTTAATAATTTAGTCCAAAAAAAAAATGATAGATTAGTCATTTTGTGTGTCAGATGAAACACACATGTATACACAGAATGATTATTTGTTCTCAAAGATTTTGTTATAATCTTGATTCATTTGTCATGTAACACTGAAATAAAATGGTTACACTAATTACCCCAAATCAAGTTTCACTTCTCAATTTATAAGCTTTCCATTTTATTCTATAAATTCTTAGCTGTCACGGAGTCAGAAAATTATTACTGTCATCAATAGGAAGATTGTTTTAGTGGTGCAGATGGCTGTCCTTTTATAGGCCAACTTAATGACTTGTTCTTGTCTAATTTGTCATCTGTTATTTAGTTGTCATTATGAACTTTTTGGGTTTCATATCAATCAATTTTCTATGTTTACTAAACAGATGGCTTTATTAAAAGAAAAAAAACAAAGCAAGAAAATGACATTAAATGATTTTAAAAACTCCAAAGGCTACATACACTTTTTAGTATGTCAAATGAAATTTAAATATGCTATTTAAAAAAGTAAGTTTAAAGCCAAAGTGAACTAGATTTTAAAACTCAATGGACATGCAAAGAACAATCAGTAGCAGCTGTCTACAAGTAGAATGAATTATTTGAAAATACAAACAGGCATTTCTTTCAATTCTTTCACCAAAAAAAATTTAAAACATATCCTGACAAGAAAGACAAATGTCAACTGAAATAAATCATCAATTCAGAAGCTCTTTGTTGTAATTCATAGGTGTACCTCCTTTGTCTGTTGTTTGTAATCTTTTTTTAGAGTGTAGGTAATTACATACTTTCACTTAGTGAAAATTGTCCCTTACCTCTGTCATCCTTAAGATGCCTTTGGTTAATCACTGTGTTATTATCAAATTGACACCCAAACTGAAGAAGCATAGCGGTAAATTTAAATGGCTTCCATCAATGAGATTAGAGTTCAGAAAATAATTGTGCCATGGAAGAGCACTGTTAGTTCATGCTGTACTACTGAAAGAACTTGACAGTTATAAGAAATCAAAACATTAATGTGAAATAACTTTACACTACATTTATGACAATATATTTAAGATTGTGTATATGTGAGAGGTATTTACCAACAAACGGGATCTGCTTCATCAGTCCCTAATAATGCTGCAATGGTTATAGAGCAAAGCTTTCTGATACATGCACAAACATATTCCAGAAAGTTTCCCAGGATCATGCCAACCACATCTTCCACTGTTAAATCGAGTGAGTTCAATTGCGTTTTCTACTTGCCCAATGTCAAAGTTCGTTAGCAGTAACAAAATCAACAATGAGGAAGGCTGTGAAGGCTTATTCTTTATGTCCTTCATACAAAATAGAAGAACTTAAGATGGCAAGCCAATTTTTAAAAGACAAAGCCAGTTTTTAAATTTTCTCAACCACATGATAACCACAGTAAAACACAAAGCTATTATAGGTAGCCATCATGCCATTTCACAGTGTTCAGAGGATATGATAGAATGGAGAAAATAAGCTACCAAAAAGAAAAAATAACAGACATTTGAGACTGACAAAAATGTTCCATTCCCTCTTAAGGAACAGAAAATCAAAAGGGGCTTGTTCACAAGGATCATATATCAGAAAGACAAAGACTTTAAATCAGAAGATTTAAATCCTAAAATACCTTTACTAAGACTTGGAAAGAGAGTTTGTACCTTAATGACTTCTCTTAGGTTTCGGCTCAAACACTTCAGGCACAGAATACATGTTTGCCATTACATGTGTGCCTGGAACTCGGCCAGGTGCTCTACATGTACTAAATCAATCCCAAGTAACTGGTGAAAGCAGCCCAAATTCAGGAAATGAAAATCTTAAACGAAGCTATATGGCAAAGACCCACATTGTGGAAGAGAGTCACACAACACAGTCAAGGTCTGGCTGAAGTTGGTTTTCTTTCCTTTAGGTCTACTAGTCCATGATAATATGTTTTGATTTGTCCAAAATACTTTGTAGGCATTCTCAACTGATTACAAAAATTGGGGCTGCTTCAGATGATCAGGTCTTCAGCCAGGATCGTGTTTAATGGGTCCCAACATATTACATGGTCATTTATCAACAAAGTTTTACACACTATTTAAGTATCAGTTGATACAAAGCCAGAAAAGTCAGCACACCATGATAATATTCTGTGGATGTTATACTTGGGTATATCATTCTCTGGAGTATATGTTTTCATATTGTTATACAAATTTACTGTATTGCAAAAGATCATTTGAACTATGATCTGTTGGTGATTTCACAAAAGTGAATCACGCTTCCTTGGGGAAGATTGCCCCTTTTCAGAGTGCTTTTAGCCTTCTGTGCCTCTTGGTCATAGTGGCTCAGATGTGAGAACTGACCTCCTACTAGATGAGTGGTTCTCAAAGTGTGATCCAGAAAGAGCAGCTTCGGAGACACCTGAGAAATACAAATTATAGGTCTACAACCCAGACCTTCTGAATCAAAACGAGATGGAGCTTAGCAATCTGCATTTTAACAAACCTCCCAGTGTCTTTCAGCATCCTGGACATAATAGCCATCTAACAAATGTTTCTGATTTAAATCAAATTAAAACATTCTAAAGACAGAACATATTTGTTTGTGTGTTTGTTTACTTAGGAATAACCATGGGCTTCCTTTCAGAATGTCCACTATTTGTAGAGCTTAACATTGGAGATGTATTTTGCCGAAGGATTTCCATTCCTTAACTAGGCATTGCTAGGTTCTGTTGATTTGCCATTAATTGAAACCAAGGATGGACCATAATCAGATCAAAGAGGAGTGAGGAAGGAAAAAGAAAGCAGAATACCATTTTATTCCTTCTGCTCATTTGCTACAGAGATCTCAGGTATTCCCTATATTCTTAAGAAGTAGATCAAATTAAATTAGAATAACTGAGCGAAAATTAGTGTGAGCTTTAGGAATAAAAATGATAAGATCACAGTATTCTAACAAACAAAAATCAGCTCTATTTCAGGAAATAGTTTTTTTTTAAAAAGGCCAACAAACATTAGTAAGTAAAGTGGGAGAGAATAATAATACAAGCACAACATGACAGGTCTATACTGCCTGGGGCTCATTTACTACTCTGCCAGCTCTATGCATTTATGGCACAGCAATCAAGTGCATAGGCTCTCAAACCAGATTAAGTGGATTATAATTTGGCTCAGGTCTTCACTACTTCTAGGTATTTGGAGAAATTGATCCTCTGTTTTACAGATGAATGTTCTCATCTATAAAATGGAATAATAGTAACTCTTTGAACTGGTGAAAGATTTAAATTAAATTATAATAAATAATATATAGCAGGCTCTATTTTTTTTGTCTTTAACAGGTGTTGCATAAGTCAAATGTAGTTGTGATAGCCGCTACACTTAAGAGGTTTGTAGTCTACCAGTCCAAGTTACAGAACATGAAACAAAAGATCACTTTCTCAGGGGCAGAGTCCTATCAGTGATTCCCCAGCACTGGGCACATAATAGGTATTCAGTAAGTGCAGGCCAAATAAGATAGATTATACCACAGCACCAAGAAGCCTCCCGCCATGAGTCTAGGTTGAAAATTACATAGCAGAGACTTTGCCACTTCATAGAACTAAGTAGACTGGCTTGATTTCATGATACCTGGATGACAAAACTGAGAAAAGTAACTTCCCAAATACATTATTGCTTTATGTATCAAAATATCTTTTCCTAAATCTGTGACAGCC